AAAACAGGTTTCTCTTGAAAATGAGTCCTCGTGACTCAATGAGACTAAGCTTTATAAATAAAGGTTGAATGAATCTTCCTCTGGTTCTGGACTCAGGGCTCGGGGGCAGCATCCTGAGCAGGGAGGTCCAGACATCTCTCTCCACAGCCTCTCCCAGCTCTTCTGGGAGGACTCCAGGAGTTTCCAGGACCAGAGAGAGACATAGTCTTTCCTGCGGTCTCCTCCCAGTCGGACATGCCTGAACCACCTCAACTGGCTCCTCTGGATGTGGAGGAGCAGTGGTTCTACTCTGAGTCTCTCCTGATAACTGAACTTCTCCCCCTGTCTCTGAGGGAGAGTCCAGCTCTGCAGAGGAAACTCATTTCAACCTCCTGATCTCATTCTTTCAGTCTCTACCAGAGTTCATGTCCAGAGGTGAGGGGAGGAACGTAGACTGACTGGTAAACAGAGAGCTTTGTCTTACAGCTCAGCTCTCTTCACCTCAACGAACCGGCACAGAGTCCACAATACTGCAGATGTTGCACCAATCCTTCTGTCAACCTCACGCTCCATTCTTCCCTCACTGAGAACAAAACCCTGAGATACTTGGACTCCTCCACTTGAGGCAGAACCTCACCCTCGACCCAAAGAGAACAATCCACCCTTTTCCAACTGAGGACCACGGCCTCAGATTTGGAGGAGCTGATTCTTTTCATTCATTCCACCTTTATTTCTACAGTTAATCCCATTGAGCCTCGAGGACTCATTTACAAGAGAGACCTGATTTAACAAAGAATGATGACGACAGTAGAAGTTATAAAAGAGGCGTACAGATTTTATTTTCTTTTTTTCTTCTCATTCTCATCCCAGCTGTGACGACATCACCACAAAACTGACTGTCAGAAGAAATCCTCGATTGAGGTCAAATCCCTCGTTCAAGGATTCCTCTCAAAGCTTGTTGTTCTCACTGTTGTGCATGTGTGTGTGTGTGTGTGCCTGTGTGTGTGTGTGTGTGTGTGTGTGCGTGTGTGTGTGCGTGTGCGTGTGTGTGTGCGCGTGTGTGTTTCTCTCATACACTACAGGTGTTGGTGAGTGAGGACTCGGATGGAGAGGGGGTGGTGGCTCACTTCCCAGCTCATGACAAGCCCATCTCCTGCATGCAGTTCAACCCCAGTGGTAAGACACACTAACACACACGCTGCTTTTACACCCAGAAGACTTTGACCAAGACAAAGACTCAGGTCTGCATGGAACGTTTTGACTCCGGTGCTCCTCAGCTCTTTGTTTTGGCTCAACTCGTTCCAGCTCATGTGTTTGTTCATCTTGAATGGACCATGAGTGTGTGTGGGGGTGGTGTATTTTTCAGCCTTAAGTCTTGATACGAGTTGATCTCACATCCGTGTGCAACGTAAAGTAATTTTGGAAGTGAAGAAAAAGCTTCTTGCAGCTTTACTAAAAAAAAAAATAAAAAAAAAAGAAATTATTTATACGGGAAGAATTTAAATATTTCTTTCAGTCTGACCTTAAATCCATTAAAGTTAGTTTCTTGAGTCACTTGGCAGGTGTGTTGTGTAAACTGGTTAGTGAACTATGACAGGCTGTGGTGGAACTGGTGAAGGACTCCTTACGGTTCATATCTTTGTTCACATTGTGCAACGGATGATACAAAAATTAGATGCATTCATGATAAAAAGGTGTTTCCTGAAGAAAATAATGTGCGAGCTAGCAGCATCAAATATCCAAAGGGTAAAATAAATGCTTCGCTACACTAAGGTTCAGAAACTCAGATCAAAGCAAGTCATAGATTATCAGTGATAATATTCATGTTCACAAGATCCATAATATTCACCTGTGCTCCTGATTGTCTGCCAAACTGTTTCTCTCTCTCATTACATGAAGTAAGAAGTACTTTGGACTCAAATGGAGTACTTTTATGTTTCTGTGATATTTTGGACAAAAGCTTGTGACACAACTCTAGTTTTCAAAAAGCAGATAATCATAAAACTTCAAAAGCAGCTAAACAATGGATGGGTGCATGGAACATCAAGCTCTTGGAGAAGAAGGTTAAATAAAAAGTAAAGTGACGGTTTGCATTTAAAATGCCAAAAGCCTTACCAGTGAGCTTGACAAGATAACTTTTATATACATACATACATATATATTTATATAATATATATATATATACATACCCAACATTTTTCACTCAGGTCATCTGGACAGTTTCTTTTTTTCATCTCAGCACCAACAGAACTGGTTTGTTCCACTTTGGAGTAAGCTGTTTGGGGGAAGAATCAGTTTTGTTTTGTGCGTTTCCTTGACTGATGAAGCCTTCTGGATAGAAGGTGAAACGTTTCAGCACAACAAAAGAAACTGTCCAGATGACCTGAGTGAAAAATGTTGGATTGTAAATCTGGATTATTGAGCCTGGACTTTGTTGTACTATATATACCGTATAAACTCAATTATATTAATGCAAAATGTATATTAATGTTCTGTTGTTCACCAGAGAGTCATATCCTTTGGATTCCAAGATAAATTAAAGTCCTATCTTATTCTTAAAACAACATATTTCGTCAGTTTAATAAAAGCAACATATTTCAACGTATGTTTGTAACAGTTTTTAGTGAATGTTGCAGACGTCTGGCAACAGAAAACGTTTGTTTTCTGCACACATCACTGTAGGTATTTTCTTCAGTCCATGTGAAAGATGAAGGTACAGAAGGTGCTTTGTGAGTTTTGGTATTTGGTGGCGCAGTCTGTGAGGTTGTGAGCCTGCGTGTGTTTCGTGTCCAGTGTAAGTTAATAAAGAAGCTGCCGACAGATGACTCCTCACCCGTGACCCCTCAGCTCACGAATCCTTCACTGACTTTGACGAACAACTTTCTGAGCTGCTTTGTCTGCGCAGCAACAGCACTGGACTCGACACAGGTCGCTCTGTGTTCTGGACTTCATTGTTTTCAAGGAACAGCATCTTCAGGAACAACTTGACAGACTAAACTCAGATCTTTTTTACTCCACTTGTATGTTGTGTCTTTGTCAGTCTTGAACCATGCGGTCTGCAAACATCATCAGTTATAACGACTTCCCCACAATAACAAAACTGATTTTGTGTCAGACCTTGTTAAAGTTACCTTAACTCTTTAAACTACTTTATTGTTCAGTAATTTCACTTTCTTTAGTCAATCTCTGTTGAAATTGATACCAAAAAGTTGAAAAGTGGAGCTAGCGACCAGTCAGTAGGGAACCATGCATGTTGAATTCAGCTGCAAACATCACAGAACAACATGAGGGCTCCCTGTGAACTGGTGCACCGGAGCACACGCCTTCCTACTGCAGGCCTACATCCAGCATTCTGTGCATCTTCAGCTTCTTTCTGTTATTTTAAAGCTGCTTGTTTTCCAGATCACAATAATTGGCTTCTTTAAATGCCTTGAAAGAGCTGAGGGAGCACGTTTCAGCCAATTTTAAAGGATGGAGCAGCACAGAAGAGCAGGACTCTGTGGTCTACACTCATCTGCAGGGCCCAGCTCACTCCCTCAGGGATGAAGTTGCTTGAGAGAGGAGTACAGGAGGCCATCTTTCTTAACAGAACCTTTAAACATCATTAAACAGGGGCGGAGCCTCCGTGTTCAACTGCCCCCTCTTACAATGCTGTTATTATTAATAATAATAATAATAATAATCATAATTTTATTTAAAAAGTGCCTTTCAGGACACCCAAGATTGTGTAACAACAAACTACAAGCACAGTGCAAAGATCAACAGGATAACATTGAAATATAAAATACATAAAGAATATAAAATACATATTTAAAATACGTAAAGCAAAGTTAAGGATAAGTGAGTGTACAGAGATGTGTTTTCAGAGCAGTCTTGAACAGAGACAGAGGCGTGGTGTTTCGTAAGTCGGGGGTACAGAGTTCCAGAGGTAAGGGGCAGAGCAGGTGAAGGCCCTGCTATTATAAACTACTATATAAATACTATATATATATATTTATTTTCTTCATCCAACCTTTATTTAAACAGATAAATCACATTGAGCCTCGAAGACTCATTTACAAGTGAGACCTGTTTGGACAAAATCAGCGTTTAACTGGACACATGCAGGAGTTGGAGGCGAAATAATTACTATCAGACTTTTTTTTTCCTGCCTGAGAAAAAAACCCTCTAATATTAAAAAACACCTTGCACAAACATCATATATTCATGTAAATACTATATTATATAAACTGCTGTGATTGCTAGTATCACTCAGCCCTCTGTGAACAGTAAACAGCCATCAGGTGCTAATGATCCATTGTTAGGCTGATGGTCCTTCTTGAGCATGTGATCAGCTGGTTCTGGTTGTCAGCAGCAAAACTGGTTGATCCACTCTGAGAAGGTGCTATTTAAGAGACTGAGCTGAATACAGCACCTCAGACTGAGGAAGTCCTCAGGATGAGAGACGAAACGTATGAACAAGTTTGTAATTTATTATTTTTATTTATTTATTGTTATTATTTTTGTAATCCATCCAGAGGAGCTGACTTACCTTTTACACTTGTATACCTGTATTAGTGAGCGGCATCAGGACATCTACCATCCTCACTTGTCTTACTGGGACTGTGTTCCCAGGTGGTGGGGTCATGGTGGGACAGGAGCGGTGTCAGCACTGAGAGTGGGAGCTGGGCAGTGCTGTGCAGGAACTGTAAGAAGCCAGCAGGGTTGTGTGGAAGGCTGGCACTGTGAGGTGCTTCGTTGGATTAGTGGCTGTGCTGCGAGCGCGGAGCTGTAATGACAGACGAGGTGCAGCGGCAGCGCTGCTTGCTTTCCTTCACATCTCAACATCTCATTCATCCTGAACGTTCGGTGCTATGCCAAGGTCGACCTGGGGTTAAAGGTGGAGAATACTCTACGTCGTCAGCGCATGGCTGGCACTAGGTGGAGTGGTTGATTCAGAAACGTGCACGTGTCACTCTGCTTCTTTTAAACACCGAAGCTTTCAGCGCAGCGCTCAGTCTGAGAGTGGTGCTTCAAAACAA